GGGAAAGAGGTAAATAACTTAATAGGGTGTTGGTAGCTATGAGCTTTAGAAAAATTTAGTTGCATTAATTTACATAGCTTGTCCTTATTCAACACCTAATTACATTTCTCTGTGCTCAGCAGGCCTGTAAGGTTTCTCTCCACTCGATTATATTAACCACTGCTGAAATGATATTTTTCTAAATCTAGAAATTGAAAGAGAACTAAGTAGAGCCTACTGCTGCAGGCAAGCATTTTATTTCTTGGTCATTAAGAACTAACCAGAAATAACAAGAAGAATTAATTTGCAATATAGCTGAAAAAAAACAAACAGATGTTCCCCAATTTAGCAAAATTAAACTCATTTTGCGGAGGAGTGGGTTTTTTTCATCCTTGGGTTATTTCTCACACTACTTCTTGGCTGTGGCGATAGAAGGGTAGTAGAATAGCAGTGGTAGGCTTGTTAGTAGTGGTTGTTTCTTATTAATTAGTTGCAGCAACTGTAGTAACCATAGTTAATAGTAAATATAATTTATTTTAATGTTACAAAAACAGAAGAATTTAAAAATTATAAGTATAGCTTTTACATATTAATATTAAAAGTTCTTTAAAACTTCTACCTAGTTCTTAGGGAATAATTTGAAATTTTACCTATTGAAATTTGAGAAACCATAGGTCTGGAAAGTCTTCCCTTCTCAAAAGAAGTAGCCATTAATGGTTCCTACAAACTGAAAACAGAGTTGTAGAGTAGAGAGTGATTTCTCACCAAATCTATGTGGAAACATGGAGGGACAGGTTTCTATATCCTATTTATTTTGAGTGCCAGCAGTAAGAATTAAGTATCTGAACTCGTCAATGGCTGTGTATTTGCAACTCTGTATCTCTAGAAATTGATAAATCTTTTCCAACAAAATTGTTTTGATGAATAGATTTTATATTTATTTCAAATTATCTTCCTACCTTGAATTACTGCCTTTTGTGCTTTAAGTTAAGGAGTTTCTTCTGTTAGTACCTGGAGGATACAATAACCACCTGGAGGTACCTTATCCAATAGAACACTTGTAGAGTATAATTCAGACATTTTCCTTAAAAGATCATGTCTGTGGAATTTTTGCATCTGTTATAATGATAAAATTATAAACGCATACTGGTGAGGATGGGTGAAAAATAAATTATAGACTGAAAAAGTTACTGTTCCTCTTTAAAATTTAAGAATGGGGTATCGGGACCAGCAGTTGGCATAATGGCTATGTCAGTGGACTCCCATGTAGTCGACCATGGTTCAAGTCCTGGACCCGGTGGCTTAAACTCAAACTGGGTGCATGTGCATGTGTGCCCAAGATCCCAAGAGGGGAATGGAGGAGAAGGGATTGTGGCGTGGCCATCACCCTTAGGGGGTGATTTCTTGCTTTCTATCTCTCTGTCTCTCTCTGTCTTTCTAGCAAGTGCATGCGCCCTACAGCAAAAATCTCACCAAAAAAAGAATGGGATATCAAACTTTGAACATTAAATATGAATCTGAAAATCTAGAGGTAAATATAATACAAGCAACGACCCTATCAATATAATATCTTTTAGTAAGTTTGAGCTATATTAAATTATAAATGTACAAAAATATGCTTAAAATATCAGGGATTTATTTAGAAAGATCTTGCCTTATAAATGAGAAGTAATGATGATGGAAAATACCCATTGAAGATTTTACTAGTTAGAGTTTTCTTTTTTAAGATGAGTAGTTAGAATTCAAGTATACTTTACTTTTGGTGAGAAATTCAAAGGTAATCAAAGCAAAGAAGACATTGCCAGAAAGAGAAACATTAATTCCATCATAAATAACTACAGAATTAATTCTGCAATCACCTACCTAGAAATCACAATTTAGAATTTGAAAGAATAAAGACAGTTCTATGCCAATGAAATCTTTATTCAGAGTTTAAAATTGAGACCACACGGGTTAACACATTTTAAACTTTAAATGCTATACAATTTTGTAAGTTTTTTAAAAAAATCTAGCTTGTTTTATTGTATTACTTTTTGTGAAAACAGAAAAGTGGTCTATAGTAGCCTCAGATATTTGGCTGACCATTGCCTAAATGTTACTACTATATTGCCACAAATAATTTGCTTTGGGTTTTATTTCATAATAGTGTGTGTGTGTGTGTGTGTGTGTGTGTGTGTGTGTGTGTGCATTTGCATACTTATCCTTAATCAACGCATTTCTTGGATTAATATTAAAATCTGCGTTTCCTAAACTGACTCTCCTTTCAAGCAGCTAATGACCCTAGAGGCAAAAAGCCAGTATAGGATTAACAATTTGTCATGGATAATCCACAAAGTAAATAAACCTAGTGTGAATAATTGAAAATGGGTTAGTTTTAACATAGGAGCTATTGAAAGTTAATTCAAAGCCAAGGTCCTCCATAGAAAATTCCATCTCATTATCCACTGCTAGAATAGGCTGCCATTGGTAACACACTAAATAAAGAGGTATTTGTGTACTGTCAATGGTTTTCCAACTTATCTGCAAACATATAGACTTTATCTTCTTGATTAGGTACTGGTATTATGCAGGCTTGAGTAATCTCAAAAATGTGAATACTTCACCACAAGTGTTTAGCCCCTTTTTAGCTTTCAAAAAAAAAAAATTAAAACATTTTTTGCATTTTAGCATGAGTGGTTTCTAAACCAAGGTTACAGTTGAAGAAAATCCAAGTAAATAGGACAGTGAATTCACATGTAAAAAGGACTTGCATATTAGAACAGCTAGTGTTAAATAGCAAAGGATCTCTACTGGCAAATGAAATATTTAAATTACTTATAGTATTATATGAACATTTTTCAGTCTAACAATCTCTTCCTATCATAGTCACTTTTCCTACAATTAAAATCGTTTATATTACAGATTTCTGATTTACCAGTCTGCAAAGTACTACTGAATCATATGAGAATTTGTTACTTAATCTGAACAAAGTCTAGTTAATCATACATTAAGACATTAATTATGGGGCATGGTGATAAAGGTGCTGGAACTCCCACGTGTCGAACCATGGTTTGAATCCTGGACCTGGTGACTTGCTTTCTCACTTTCCCTCTCTCTCTGTCTCTCTCTCTCTGGTCAAATTAAAATAAATAAATGAATAAATTAAATTAAATAAATAGTTCTTAAAAATGCATAAATTATGTTCCTTTTTTATTTTTACTACCATGATGTTTTATTTTCAAAACATGACTCCAGTTGAGCTGGAGGGATTTAATGATAATGTTTTCTGGGCTCCTTTTTCTTATCATTTTTCCTGTTTTTCTAATTACAGGTTTTATATACACTGGAGAAGTTGTACACCGAATGCTAACAGCCACGCAGTACATAGCACCTTTAATGGCAAATTTTGATCCCAGTGTATCCAGAAATTCAACAGTAAGATATTTTGATAATGGTATGTACGAATTAGCCTATTTTTTGGTTGAATGTATATTTTTAAATATCAAGCATCAGATTCCTGTTAACATTTTTGTAAACTTTTGGGGTTTTTTGGTAGGTTTGATTTGTAAATTGTATGATGCAAATACTCTGAGATGACTAATGTTATTCTGTTCATTATTAAAAAGTGGATTAAAAATACATGGTCAGGGGCCAATAACATGGTGGTTAAAGCGGCAGGATCCCACGTGGCTGACTGTGAGGTGCAAGTCCCAGAGCTGATGGCTTGAAAATCACTCCTGGCACAGGCATGTGTATGCATGCCCCAAATCCCAAAAAAAATCAAAGAAGGGATTGTGGCCATCGCCCCTAGGGGGTGATTTCTCATTTTCTTTTCTCTGTCTTGTGTGCCCTATGGCAAAACAAATTTTAAAAAATAAATGAATAAAAAGACCAAATGCCACTCATTTGTTATTTATTCCATTCACATCATATATATATATATATATACACACACACATATATAAACATCTATTTTACATTATATTAAATGAGTTACTATAGATAACACCTCAAAAGAAGCAAATCTTATTTATTTGATGCCATTTACAATAATGCCTTTCTAATTTAAGAAATCCAAATAAGGATAATTTTGCTAGTTTTGATCTTTATGTACAAGCAAGTGGCATCCTATAATGATACTAAATTTCCCACACTTTTGAACTCTGTGTATCCATAAGATGCATATGGTTTCATGAAGATATAAGGTGGTGCGTAATTAAAGTGCACTTAAGAAAATAATTCTCTTCCTGGAACTGAATGATGACACATCTGTAAAATGCAATGTTCTGTGAGGCTGACCCACATGGAAGAGTTAAAGATCTCTTCCAAAGCCCACCCTGAGTACACTGTACATGCCCAGTGTGTAATCCAGGGCTGACTGATGCTAGGCGTGGATCTCGGCACAAAGAGCCTATTGAAGGTGCTCTCTCTTTCATCACGCTTGCTCATAGAAGAAAGAAATAATAAACTTTAAATAAATTGAGTCTTTCTGACTTTAAAATGTGAAATACAGCCTATTAAGATTAATTAAGTATATTGACAGGAATCTTCCTGTTGTGTCTTTGGGGACATATAAAATAAAGAAAACCCAGACCATATCATTAAATGCCATTAAAATTCAAATAAGAAATTAGAGATCTTGGCACCAGCAAGTAGTTGACTGCAGTCCGAGTCTCAGACCCAATGGCTTGAAACTCATGTTGGGGGTTTGTGCATGCATACCCAAAATCCTGAGAGGAGAATGGAAGAGAAGGGATTGTAGCATGGCCATATCCCTGGGGGGGAGATGATTTCCCTCTCTCTCTCTCTTTCTCTCTCTCCAGTGAACAAAGAAAAAAAGAAATTAAAGATCTTAAGAGACATAAGTAAATTTTGCTTTTTGTTGTTGTTGTTGTTGTTGTTGAGGTTTTTCCTATAGGGTGCATATGCTTGCCAGAGAGACAGAGAGACTCAGAGACAAAAAGCAAGAAATCATCCCCGGGGGGATGGACATGCCGCAATCCCTTCCTCTTCTGGTGATCTTGGGCACATACGCACAAGTGCCTGGTGTGAGTTTAAGCCACCGGGTCCGTGACCGAACCATGGTCGACTACGTGGGAGTCCAGCGACATAGCCATTACGCTAACTGCTGGTCCCAGTAAATTTTGTTTCTGTATTTCATTACAAGCTGTAACTTTGATAGAGAAATTACAAGTAAATCAGAGTTGACATTGGAAAGATTAATTAAAGAGAATTTTCTTTGATCTTTGTACACAAAAGTAGTATTTGCTTGCTCATATGACAGTTTTATGTCTGAAAATAATAAAAGCATTTTGGGGGGTCTTATTTTTGATGATGAAGGAAGAAAATTACCAGTAGGTGGTACAGGCTTCTTGGTGGCAGTAGTCTTAGGGAAATGGGAACAATTTTCTAACCAGGGCTTTGAAGCTGTTTCACAGATCAAAATAGCAAAAGAAGAAGGAAACCAAGCACAGTCAGGTATATACCTGGAGTAATTCTAGGTGTTGGCTATATACTTTTTTCTCCCTATTATTTTACAAACTGTTAAATTCTATCCTCTTAACCATTTTTTTAAAAAGTCAGGTGGTGCTGATGACCCAGGGTGTATGAGTAGGTTGTGAGTGTACTTGAGGCAAAACTGCAGCAGAAACTTCCGGAAAGCTTACTCCATAATCTCCTAGGCAGAGCCGCCTTAGAAATCTAATAAGAAATGATTTGATGAGAGTTTATTTTCCAACCTCTGTCACTTACTAGGTGATGTGAGTGACATTCACTCATGAGCACAGGATTCTGATGATCCAGTTTTTATATTATTAGCATCAAAATCATAAAGCATATTAAATAATTCTCTGCCTCCGCATGCTCTCTCTTGTACCCTTTTCCTTTTCCTTTGTAGCTTTTTTTTTTTTTTTTTTTAATGAGGTTTTTGCCTTAGAAGCATGTGCACTCACCGGAGAGAGAGAGAGACAGTGATAGGGAAAGTGAGAAATCATCCCCCAGGGAGGATGGTCATGCCACAATCCCTATTCCTCCATTCTCCTTCCTGGATCTCGGGCACGCACACACACGCGCCCGGCGTGATTTTTTTTTTTTTTTCGAAGAGGTTTTTGCCATAGGGCGTGTGCAAAAAGCAGGAAATCACCCCCCAGGGGCCATGGTCACACTGCGATCCCTTCTCCTCCATTCTCCTCTCGGGATCCTGGGTATGCACACACATGCGCTGGGTGTGAGTTTTAAGCCACTGGGTCTGGGACGTGAACTGCGGTTGACTACATGTGAGTCCGGCGACACAGCCATTACGCTAACTGCTGATCCCCCTGTGTGATTTTTGAAGCACTTGGGTCCAGGACCCAAACTGCAGTCAGCCATGTGGAAGTACAGCAACATAAGTGCTTTACCATCTGCTAGTCCCTAGGAGTTTTTAATATGTGAATTTTACTTTCATTTATTTAGTTTTAATTTTTTATTTATATATTTTATTCATGAAGGAGAGCCCAAGCATGCATACATAAGAAAGAGAAACCCTCCGCATAGCCCTATAACTCATGAGATCTTGGACATGTGTGCACTCAGTGTGTTTCATATTGACTCAGGGTCTGAACCTCTGTGGCTTCCAGCTTTGTAGTCCAGTGCACTACTGTCCATGCCACCAAGGCTGGGCTGGAATTTTATTTGAATGATTTTTTCAAGTTAATGTATATCACTCCAGTTGGATTATAAATGATCTAAAAGCAAGAATGACTATAAGAAAACATTTTATCTATAGTACCTGGCATAGATACTTAATAGTAGGTTTTCAATAATTATTCAATGAATAAGTAAATGAAAGAATTAAATATGTAAGATGGATGTTTTATTTCTAAGTATTGTCCAGGGATTAATAATCAAGACAATGTATTTTTTTGTCTTACTCCTGTGTGATCACCAACAGGAATGTTAAGTTCCTACAATATGATAATGAAAGTTGAATAATTTCTTGTGCTTTATTAAATAAATGAAGCACATTTAAATATTGTAAGGCTCTTCTTTTTATTACCAGAGCAACTTGGGGAAATACTTTGAACATTGATTCAGTAAAATCATAGAATTCTTGAGGATGGAAATCTCAGCATTTTAGGAAAGCAGAACTTTCCTAGATAAGACACAGCAGATTAGAAAATTTATTTTAAGATAATATTTCTACAACATAAAGCACTAGATTTAGAAAATGATATGAGGCTTCCAAAAGTTATCAGTAGCCTGAATGATTACTGTAATCTGATTCACGGAGTATTAATGTACAAAAAATGAAAAAGTTATAAAAGCAAGCTATAGAGTATAATTTTTTCCAATAATCAGAAGTCTAATTACACATAGAAATAGAAAATTTAGAGCTGATAGTGATCTTAAATATCATTAGTTCCTTCTACTCTGTTTTTTTGTTGAAGATAAAAAATCGTTATCCATTACTGATCACATAACTGATTGTGGTGAAATCAACACCCTAGGGAAGCTCAGTTCCAGTAAGCTCATCAGATGGGGTAGCAACTCACGTGGTCTGATATATACGTTTACATCACTTCATAGCAGCAGCAACTGTCAGTCATACCAGGAGATAGGCTACCCAGCTCTTTGAAAATGTAGATCAGTTCCTCAGCCCACGCTTTTCTTTTGGCTTTATATTTTTCTACATCATGTTTGTCCAAGGAAAGTGCCTTCCTGGTCCATTCACCTAATTGTTCTCTACATTAGGCATTATCTAGAGGGCAATATTTTGAGTAAGAAACTAGTAAGAGAGTGACCAGCAGTTAGCATAATGGCTATGTCGCTGGACTCCCACATAGTCGACTGTGTTTCGAGTCCCACACCCGGTGGCTTAAAACTCACGTGTGTGCCCAAGATCCCGAGAGGAGAATGGAGGAGAAGGGACTGCAGCATGGCCATCCCCCCTGGGGGGTGATTTCTCGCTTTCCATTTCTCTGTCTCTCTGTCTGGCGAGCCCATGTGCCCTATAGCAAAAACTTCTGAAGAAAAAAAAAAAAAAAGAACCTAGTAAGAGAAATAGAGGAAATCAAATCTAAATGTGCATTTATTCCTAAAACCCATTCCCACTCACTTGAATACCATAAAGTTTTAGATTTCAGTATTTTTTTCTTTACTTTTCTAAAGAGTGTATGTACTTGCCAGAGAGAGAGAAAAGGAGGGGGGAAAAAGCATCCTCCATGGGGGATAGTCAGGCCCCTTCCCCTCTATTTCTCTTCTTTTAGGATTTTGGGCATGCATACGCATGTACCTAGCATATGTTTCAAGCTACCGAGTCTAGGAATTGAACCTAGGCAGTTGATCATGTGGGGTCCAGCTGCCTTAACCATCACATACCACTGGTTAACCCTCTGGTAATTTTTAATAAAAGGTGAAACTTGAAATATTGGTTCTTTGGTAAATACAGAACAGAAATACTTAGCAAATTTTTAAATTTAATTTTTAATTTTTAAAATTAATGTCTTCCATGAGAGAGAGTGACAGAGAGAAGACAGAGAGAGAGATACCCTCAACAAGGTACTCATACCAAGATTCGCTCCTAGCCTAAGCTGGCTCAGATCACAGACACACATCTATACATCTGGAAAGTACAAAGAGGAGGCCTCAGGATGCGAACCCTGAACCTTCCCCTATGGGTTCTACCTTGAAGAGCTTCGCATTACTGTTGTACCACCATCTGGCTCAAGTTTAGCTCATTTCTAAATTTAATGAAACATTCATAATCAGTTTTTATTTGGCCTGATATAGAAGCATTGAAATTAATAAATATTTTGGGGAGCTATGCTACTACATAATGCAAAACTTAGTATATGCAAATTAGTGTTTTTTTCGAAACCCTGCTCCCAACAATAACTTAGAAATGTCTTCATCAGCACTTGCAGTGAAAACTATTTATATGGACTTGTCACAAGAATTTAAGGTTACTCTTGGGTTGTCATAAAAGTCATGATGTATTTTTTCGGTGCAAAAATGCATCATGACTTTTCCGACAACCCAATATATTTTCTTATATTTAATACAGAATTGTGGTTTTTGTTTTGTCTTGTTCTGTTTTTTTGATCTGATCATAGAGTGTGTGTGCCTGCTGAAGGGAGAAAGAGAGAGGGAATGTGAGAAATCCCCAAGGCCATGCCACAATCCCTCCTCCTCCATTCTCCTCTTGGGACCTTGGGCATACATGCATGTGCGCCTGGTGAGTTTTTCAGGCTGCCAGATTGGGTACTCAAACCACACAGCCATGTGGGACCCACCGCCATAACCACCAAACCAGCCACTGGCCCAGTGCAAAATATTTCTTTCTTTTTTTTTTTTTTTTTTTTTTTTCTATAGGATTAGTGGGCTTGCCAGAAAGACAGAGACAGAGAGAGAGAAAGTGAAAAATCACCCCCCAGGAGTGATGGCCACGCCACAATCCCTTCTCATCCATTCTCCTCTCAGGATTGTGGGCATGCATGCACATGTGCCTGGTGTGAGTTTAAGCCACTGGGTCCGGGACTCGAACTGCAGTCAACTACATGGGAGTCCAGCGACATAGCCATTACCCTAGCTACTGGTCCCCAATGCGAGATCTTTTAAGGCAAGAATTAGACCTTGCATATTAACGAGAGAGGGAACAAGTTCATTCAGGTTAAGAATGTTGATCTGGGACCAGCAGTTAGCTTAATGGTTATGTCCCTGGACTCCCATGTAGTTGACTGCAGTTCGAGTCCCGGACCCAGTGGCTTAAACTCACACCAGGCACATGTGCATGTGTGCCCAAGATCCTGAGAGGAGAATGGAGGAGAAGGGATTGCGGCATGGCCATCCCCCCCCGGCGGTGATTTCTTACTCTCTGTCTCTCTGTCTCTCTCTGTCTTTCTGGTGAGTGCATGTGCTCTATAGCAAAAACATCTCAAAAAAAAAAAAAAAAAGAATGTTGAGCTCCTGTAGGAGATTTTACAGATGGAGGTCTAGGTCTTCTGTTCTCTAGTTCATTGTTTTCCTGCACCACCAGATGAGAGAGAAATGCTAAAAAGGCACTTGGCTTAGAGCTGTGGACACAAGTAAAGGAAAAAGAAGTTGTTAAATGGCATTTCATAATAATGGTTATTATCATTTTGCCTTTGCCAATTTTAAAAAATGATAGTGTAGACACAGAAGAAAACTTAGCTCTTCTAGGTCATATGTTGGGTGTTTCTTGTGGCTTAAAGCACTAAGGTCAAGTTCAAAGCTTTTTTTTTTTTTTTTGCTTCTAAAGCTTTACCTCAAAAAATACATTTCTGTATTTTAATATTCTTTAGGGATTTACAACTGGGTGTTCAAGAAATTTGAAGTAATGTCTATTTAAACTTGTCAACTAGCTCAAAATTGTTGCTGAAAATTAATTCTACCATATAATCATAATTTTGAAAAATCAGATATTTACTGCTGGGAAGTAAGTTTTATTACTGTTTTAGTTCTGTGAGTTTTATTTTCAATACAGCTTCTGTTGGCAGCAAAAAAAAAAAAATTAAATTAAATCCAATATTTAGAGCCAAGAAAAAATCGGCTTTTTTTTGAAAAAATAAAGTTTACACAATGTCAGTTAAAACATAAATATGAGATACCAGAAGTTGGTGTAATGACTGTGTTGCCGGACTCCCATGTAGTCGACTGTGATTCAAGTGCCAGACCCAATGGCTTAAACTCATGCCGGGCGCGTGTGCGTGCATGCCCAAGATCTCGAGAGGAGAATGGAGGAGAAGGGATTGCAGTGTAGCCATCCCCCCTGGGGCATGATTTCCCACTTTCTGTCTCTCTGCCTCTCTCTGTCTTTCTGGTGAGCACATATGCCCATATAGCAAAAACCTCTCCAAAAAAAATAAAATAAAACATAAATATGAATTTTCATAAGTGATCATTATATTTCAATCTATATTTTATATTAATGGTTTAATAGTAAAGCCTGGCAGATTGAGTCATCAGAATATAATATATCGCACTGAATTTCATCCCAACATACTTCAAGGGAGTTTCAGAAATCATAGTCCAGGCCCTTGAAGCTACCTTGCAACTTTCTGGAAGCAACACAACAAAGACAGAAATGTAGTCATTGTGAACCAAAGAAGAAAATTCCCATTAGTGTTAAAGGAGCTGCTTTAGTGCAGAAGAGTATAATGCTATGTATTAAATAAACATTTTTAGGTCTTTTATAAGTGGTTCGAGCTTTTTTGAATGTGTGCCTTTCTCTCTCAGCATTTGTCAAACATATTTGACGTTCATTCAATCCACTTGGGCTGCATTTTGGAAGTGGCTCATGGAAATTTAAGCAGACAGTAGCCATTACTGTTAATGGGATTCCTAAGGCAAAATTCTCCCACACTGACTTGGCTCAATATTAACCTCAGTGTGAGGTTAGATTTTACCAATTATTTAGAGAATACTCAATCCTTTAAAAAAAAAATTCTAAATGCTCTGTCAATAACAGAATGCCAATTAACCACATAAAAATAAAACAGTGGACCAGTCCTATTCCCTTTTTATGATATCTCTCACATCTGGTGGCATAGGAAAAACAGCAGAGCTGGTAGTGGCCTAATGGTTAGGGAGCTGGTTCCCACATGCCCTCTCTGGTCAAGTTAAAAATAAATAAGTGGAGGGACCAGCAGTTAGCATAATGGCTATGTCGCTGGACTCCCACGTAGTCGACCGCGGTTCGAGTCCTGGACTTGGTGGCTTAAACTCACGCCAGGTGCGTATGTGTGCGTGCCCAAGATCCCGAGAGGAGAATGGAGGAGAAGGGATTGTGGTGTGGCTATCCCCCTAGGGGGTGATTTCTCGCTTGCTGTCTCTCTGTCTCTCTCTGTCTTTCTGGCGAGTGCATGTGCCCTATAGCAAAAACCTCTCAAAAAAAAAAAAACAGAAAAAAAAATTAAGTGAATAAATAAATAAAGTTAAATAAAATAATTCTTTTTAAAAAAGTAAAATATTATAGAAATAACAAACTATTACATTAGAAGGCCAGGTCCATGTTTTTATAAATGCTGCCAGTAGAATCGATTATCGTGTTTTTCTCATCGCACTTTTTTTATTTTGATGGGGTTTTTAGGCACAGCACTTGTTGTCCAGTGGGACCATGTACATCTGCAAGATAATTACAACCTGGGAAGCTTCACCTTCCAAGCAACCCTTCTCATGGATGGACGCATCATCTTTGGATACAAAGAAGTAAGTGATGTTTGGATCATTTCCCTCCCCATTGACCTTGACCACTGTCCTTTCCTTCAAGTGTCAAGAACAGAATATTTTAGTCATGAACCTGGGATCATTTTTTTACCTCTTGATTCTTTTGCTTAATAAAAAGCATTTTATTTTGTTTTGCTTTTAATCCTCTGTGTAGCATTAATTGTTAACTCTTGGAGTTTTGTTTTGTCTTGTATTTTCATACCATTGGCACTGTCACCCATGAATTTCATAAAATTATCAAATAATTATATTCAAGTAAATGGTAAGAAAAAGATTCTGATTTGGAGGCGTTTTTTTTTTTTTTTTTTTTTTTTTTTTTTATTAGAATGCTTATATTTTGTTTATTTGTTTTCTGCCTTGTCGATTTCTGTGACTTGTCTTAGTTGTAATTCCAAAAGTATTGGTAGACACGAAAGCCTGTGTAGCTTCGTTGAGAGTTCCAGGACAACAACTAAGCCTATAATCCCTTTGGTTAATGTTTATTGAAATCTAATAGAAAACATTAATTAGAGACCTAAGTGACAGAAGAAAAAAGAGAATGTCAATTTATGGTTTGTTTCATTTTAACAAATTGATAATGTAAAGAATGAAAATTTACTAAATTGACAATGTTTAGACAAAAATAAAGCATATTTATTTCAAACTCTTTTATATAATAATAATATGATAATATAATTAAGGTCTATTAGACAAAGAATATAGGAATACAATTCCAAGAACTACAGATGTCATGTTTTAGGCAGTTGCTATTTATGAGAGAAATCCTGACAGTGTGAATGAATAATTAGTATATTAACCCATGGGTTAATGGGTGTTTATTTTTTATTTAATTTTATTTATTATCATAATCTTTTTATATACATTGAATCACATATATCTTTACAATATATTACATTTCTTTTACTAGCACAATTACCATGCATATCAATGCATATCAACCAAGACAAAGACATTACTATCCACATCATCATCATCAAATAGCTTTTTCCTTTTTTTTTCAGATTATTATTATTTATTCTCATTATTTTTTAAACATTCAATCAATATATATCGTTTGGTTTATATAAAGAATTTACCCAACCTGAAATATTTATCAGACCAGTCCAGCTGAGAATACTATACATGTTAACATCAACAGGTAATAAACCATTTCTGCATCCCACTAATGTCATGCCTCTCTATCTGTTCTCTTGCTATCCTTCTCCATACTCTTCCCTTTTCCCCTTGCCCTGTTCCACATTGTCTTCAGCATCCATAAATATTTCACTGCTCACTGGGTATTTATTTTAATACAGACTCAGTACCCTTTTTTTAATTAAGGGATTTTCCTTTTCTTGGAAGATGAATTCCTGATTACCTAAACATTATTGATACAAAGAAAAAATTCACTTTGGTCAAATCTTCTAATAATCCATCTGTTCCATAAAGTGATGAATAGTTAAGTGCAGTTAAATAGACTAACTTTCAAAAATCCCTTAATCATGCTTTATGTTTCTACTCCTAAAAAGAGATTTTCTGTGTGAAATTGTTCATTTACTTCAAATAATAACATGAATAGAATATAATGTAGGATGTGTTCTGCTGTACATTTCTTTCCTGAGCAATGTTTAATACTCAAGCCCACCATATTCTTCTATCACTCTCTGGAAGCGGAGAGATCATTTCTTAAGAGGATTCACTCATTTCTGGTTTTCACTGTAATCTAATGTATTGTTCGGCCTGCAGAGCAACATTTTGGAATGTCAGTTTTCAGTGATTTTAACCAACAGTGGTAAAGTTTCTGGAAAGATCAGGGCCAGTAAGTCTAGAATTTTAGATCTCACTAACTATTGGCTTTGTGTTTATGTTCTTGTTGTGGTCATGCTCTCTCTAGTATTTATTATCAAAATTCTCTTCTTTATGTACATTGTTTTCAAAGACTGTGTCACATTGCAGACTTACAGTTTCTTCTCTTCATTCTGTCTTTGTTCTGGGTTGACATTTTTTTAATGCTTTTGTTTTTCTTTTCTTTATTATAACCAAAGAAAAATTTCATTATGGTTTTCCTGTTTTGTCATGGGGAATATTGAGGTGAATTTCAAGGCTTTCTTGAGATTCCCAGACTATTGTCCTGATGCACATCATCTCTCTCTGCTCCAAGTTCAAGAGGTCATTTTTACTTTATTATTAGTCTTACCCTTTTTTCCCTGGGGCTAGAAAGAGGTCTTGCCTTTACTGATCTTTCTCTCTTTTCTTTTCTCTTTTTTTAAATAGCCAGAGGACACGTGGGGTCATGAGAAAGAGACAGAGAGGAGCAAAGTACCCCACAGTGGGGAATGGTCATGCCACAGTCTCTCTCCTCCATTTCTCCATTCTGTTGGGATCTGGAGCATGTATGACCCACGCCCAGTGTGTTTCTCAAGCTGTGGGGCTGGGATCTGAATCAACTGCTTTCAGCCATGTGGGATCCAGTTCCCTTAACTACTAGACAACAGGGCCTTACTCTACTCTTTTATTCTGATAATTGTCAAATATTTTATTTTGACACAGTCAACCTCTGTGTGTACAGTTAGCCAAAATTAGTACCTTTGCATTTTGGTTGAGAGTTAGATGCTCTTGTTACTTCTGGAAAAATACTTGTAATCATATGATTGTATAAAATAATATTTGTATAATGTACTACCTATTACAAAGTGCTTTCCATTCATTACAGTGTTCAATGCTTCAATAATTTTCTCTATATTAATGTCCTAGTATTTCACAAAAGCACTGACAAGTGAAAGGTGTTCAATAAATGTTTGTGGCTTAATTATGGAATTAGGTCACACATGATTATCTTTATTTTATAGCTAAGCAAGCTGAGTCAGAAAGATTAAATGACATGCTTGAGATCACAGAAAACCAGGCCAAAACCTTAATTTAGTGATCCCCAGGCATTATGACTTTTTTTTTTTCTTTTCCTAGGAAGTTATATGTAACGATCCACAAATCTGTCTCATCTGTTTTTCAATGACTATTGATTAATGTTTGTTGTTTAATAACCTCTGTTATTGGACAGCATATCATTCAATATAGGTATGGTCAGAAGAGGTATTCTTTGTCTCATTGTAGAGCTAAGTAAATTATAAGAATATATAATACAAGAAATAGAATTTTGTCATTCTATGCTGACTAAACCTCTAGAACTGAAATTATAGGTAGGAAGATAGATATAATTCCTTCTGTAATAAATGCCTCTGTAGTAACAGGTTAATGCCAGTTTTGTTTTCTTGTTTTATGTAATGAAAAGAAAAATTCTTACTCACACAAAACCTATCAATATAGTACCTGATTAAATTGTAGATCAAAACTAGTAATACATTGAATACATTTATAGAAGCAAATTTTATTTTAATTTTTCCAATACAATTTATTATAGTGTTTATTTATATTAGTAATTCTCAGTGTGCTAAGTGCCCATACTAATCACTCGACCTCCATTCCTGTCATGCTCCAAATAATAGTCATTACAACAGCATAATTTTTCAAAAATAATCAATAAATTAGAAAATATGTTTGTATTTCTCATAATAATCTGCTCATGATGAGAATAAGAATAATGAAGGTCCACTACTTTAAATAAAAGAGAATGCAGATTTGCTCATAGCATTTAGTGTTTCCTCACCAAGGGTTTCTGTACTCCATAACTAAACTAATGAGAAAAATAGTAGCAGTACATAGTCCTTTAAATAATTAAGTTATTTCTCCTAAAGTTATCACTACATACTATTGAACCAAAAATTTTAAATTCAGTTTTAAGCTATAGGCTCTTCTTGCCATATACTTTTTAATTTTAGTTAACTTTGAATATATGATCTACTTAGGATGAAGCCAAAATACAAAAAGAAAGTTTTGGGTTTTTTTTTTTTTTGCTTAAAATTCTCTTGAATTACCAGCTATGTATTTTAATTGATTTTTCAATTTTAAGGATTCATTTGTTTCTTTTACAAATTGAACTATAGATTTAATTACCTGACAAAATTAGCCTAATTAATTTAATGTCATCTTTCCTTGAATACATTAGCAATAATTCTTTTAAAGTTTGTGACTGATAACTCTAACATCTAGATTTCTTATGGATTTGTTCCTATCATCTATTTCTTTTTGTCTTATCTCTAAGGTTTTCATTCCTTGGTCATCTTCCCTTGCGTGTTGGGTAATTTTCAGTCGAATGCTGAACATTGTTTACAAAGTACTAAAGAAATGCCATGAGACTATTAATAATGCTTTCTTCTTCCAGAGAGGGTTTGCATTTTTTGTTTGACAGTTAGGACAGGAGAGATTGCTTCAATACTGTGCTGGGCTAAACATATTCAAAGTTGAGCATCAGTCCTTGTACAGACCAGTATATTTCTGGTTATCCCTTACTCTTTGAGAGCAGTCCTTCAGAGAGCTCCGCTAAAGGCCTGGGCATTTACTATGGACCTTTTGCTTTAGAAGTCCTGAATGCCTGTATTTTTCCTCCAATTCATGATACAACCTGAAGTCTATTCACCTTCTCTGTCTCTAAGCCTTCCATATGAATTGGCAAATGCCTTCATGGGAAAAGGCATTCGATTTACTTCCATGACTCCGAAATCTAGGCTTTTCAAGTTCTTGCTCTTTAATAGCTGCCTGATGTCTTCAGTTGTTAATTTCTGTTTCTTACCCACCTTTGCTGCTTGACCTGAGTAGTAAAAATGGTTATACAAGTTTATTTGCTGTAACCAGAAGTAAATATCCCATTTACTCTTTTTCTCTCTTTTAATTTGCCAGAGGGCGCATGTGCTCACCAAAGAGAGACAGAGAGGGAAAGGGAAAGCGAGAAAGCACTCTACATAGGGCATGGTCTCCTTCATCTCTCCCATTTTTTATGGGTTTTGGGCACACATGTTCAGTGGGTTTTTCGAGCCACTGGATCTGGGATTCAAACCATGTTGTTTGTCATGTGGAATCTATCTGCCTTAACCACCAAGGCACAGCTC